AACCATTGAGAAGGAGATTGAACAAGAAGACATAAAAGCTAACGAGGTACATTCTGAACCCTTTTTTAATACAAAGTCTAACGAAGCACCTTTTCCTTCCAGGTTGGTGAAGCCAAAGAAACCAAGTAAGGATAAAGAATTTTTGGAGGTTTTCAGAAAGGTGGTGCTTAGCATACCATTGTTAGATGCAGTTCGCCAAATCCCAAAATATGCAAATTTTTTTAAGGATTTGTTCACTAACAAGAGAAGGATGAAGGGAGACGAGTGTATTATCACCAATGAAAACATTTTTGCGGTCTTACAAAGAAAACTTCCGCCGAAGTGTGATGATCGAGGTATCCTTTCAATTTCTTGCAAGATAGGAAATTTAGAAATAAGAAGAGCCATGCAAGATTTAAGGGCTGCGATAAATGTGATGCCTAAATCAATCTATAACTCCTTGAACCTAGCACCTCTAAAGAAAACAGGAATTGTGATTCAGTTGGCTAGTAGGACTAATACATACCCCTGAAGGACTTATAGAAGATGTTCTAGTTCAAGTCAATGAATTAATTTTTCCTATCAACTTCTATGTGTTGGATATGAAAGATGAGAATTCACCTAATCCTTCACCCATCCTCTTAGGAAGGCTTTTTATGTGTACAACTAATGTTAAAATTAATGTGAAGCAAAGAACTTTCACGATGGAGTTTGATGGAGAAACTATTAAATTTAACATTTTTTATGCCATGAAATATCCTACAGAGACTCACTCGTTGTTTTCTATAGATATTATTAAGACTAGCGTATAAGATAGTCTTGAGATGAGAGCCTCCGATGCGTTGGAAGTGGTGATTGTGAATCATGTAGGTTTTCATGAGGCTTCTGACCTCATGATAGATGCTAGAAATTGCAGAGGATGATGCATGCTTTAGGAGCCGTTCTGCTGACTCCACAAAGGTATGAGCTCACTCCATTATTTTTACCTAAAACTGATCAGTGTTTGTTACTATCTATTGTGCAGGCACCAGAGTTGAAATTGGAATCATTTCCGGATCACTTGAAGTATGCCTACTTGGGAGAGAAAGAGACTTCTAGGGTGGATGATTGCAGACATCAAAGGTATAAGTTCATTGTTTTGTACTCACAAGATTACTCTTGATGAAGGAGCAATACTAGTCCGACAAGCACAAAGGAAGCTCAATCCAATAATGACTGAAGTGGTGAAGAAGAAAGTCATAAAGCTTCGGGATGGTGGCATAATCTATCCAATTTCTGATAGCCAGTGGGTGAGTCCTATCCAAGTGGTACCAAAGAAGGCAGGGATAGCCATGAAGGAGAATCAAGATGGTGAGATGGTTTCTGTTTGCAACCAAATAAGATGGCGGCAATGTGTTGATTATCATAGGCTTAATGCTGTAGGCAAAAAAGATTATTTTTCTTTTCCTTTTATTGACCAGATGACCGATCTTGGGCAAATTTTACCAATTTCTGTTTGTACCTAGGATTGCAAATTCAACCCGCGTTCAGCTTTTAACCTCGCTCTGATACCAATGTTGGGATTCTCGATCTTCCTGAACGTTGGGTGATCTGCACAGATTCTCAACCAAAATAATTAGTGCGGATAAAACTTGATGATTAAGAATGTAAAACAGAAATATGTATTAAGAATTGAAATGAAAATAGATCAATCGGTAAAGTAGGCTCAGATCGCAGCCACTCCTTCGCCAACTCCAAGTCGTCCTACGAGGTAACCCACAAAGGTGTCGATTGCGGTGGTTCCTAACACGAAGTAACCCAAGAACCCTATAGTGATCCTCGCACACGCAGTATCAGGACGGAAAAGTAACGAGAGAAGTCGATAGGCTAAGGCAGTAGGTTCGACGCTCACATAACATAACAGAATAGCGAACTTGTCACCCCCTCTCCTAAAATCGCAAACCATGAATTGATGATGTACATATTCAATCCCTCATACAACACTCTGCTTCTCCGATCCTAGGATGACGACCCACACTCAACTACAACCTCCTTCTTCTTCTACTTCATAGCATCGTGAATGACGGAACGGATGAGAGAAAGATTCAAAAGATCGAACAGAATGGGGGAGAGATCGATTCTGATTTAGGGAGATAAAAACAAACCAGGTGGGTTCTGGTTCGGGTCGGACCGGGTCGGGTCGGATCTGGGTTTGGGTTTGGGTGTGGGCCGACGCTGAAACACACCAACACTTGTAATATTCTTTATGCAATTTAACATATTATTTCAAAATTTGAAATTACTATTTTGGTGTAATTGGCAAATACAATGTTTTGGTTTCTCTGTATTGATTAAAAATAGAAACATATTATTTTGGTGTAAGTGGTAAGCACATTTGGATACAATTTTATTTATTTTTTTTTATGTAATTGGTAAATACAACTTGATACGCATTTTACTTTTCTCTATATTGGGTAAAAATTAAAATAATTAGAGGATGGTAATAAAATTTATTACTATGTATAAATATTATATGTTGGTTATTTTGTTATTATTGGATTTATTCGAAGATAAAGAATGTCACGTGGGGTGTGCGCTCGAGAATGCCTATACGATTTTGAACAAAAAATTTAATAGAGAACACACAAGCAACCGATGTGGTTGGCAAAACGGCCGAGTTGGATCCGGGTCGGGCTCCTTGTTCCGATTCCGTTACAAGAAACACAATAGAAAGGCCAAAAAAGGGGAAGAAGAAGATGACGAGGAGTGAGGGTCCAAAAGAGGAAGGAGGAGAGCAAGATGGGAAATTGGGAATTAGGCTTAAGGTTACAGGGTTTGGGGTTAGAGTTATTGACATTTTGGTTTGGACTTAAAAATAAGGTTAAATTTGGGATATTTTCTTTACCACACGGTCCACAATTGATCTATTTTATACCTCGTGTGTTTTTATATAAAATTTTATCAAATTTATAATATTTATCATTTTTTAAAAAAACAAATCAAATTAAAATTATTTATTTTTTATATTAAACATAACATCTTATTTATATTATATTAGACAACTATTAAAATTTCAAACACAAATTCAAATCCTCAAACAAACACACCCTTAATATATACTATATAATTTAAGTATAATATAAAACATAAAAACATATACTTCGACCAACTCTAAAAATCTTATTTCTTTTTAAAAACATAAGAACATATGTAAAAAAAATAAAATTATAGAAATATAAATATATGAGTTGAATCACGGGAATACAGACACATCAAATAACAAACAAACTTGATTGAGCTCTCTCTATTTTTGTTCAATCCCCTTTTTACTCTATTTTTGTCAAATTGTCATGCATTTTATTGCTTGTCTATACACTTTGTTCATATATATATATACATATATATATATACTTCAAGTTTAATTTGATTAATGTGTCATTTTTTGGTCGGATTAACACGATTGAATTCATTTTTCTCATCAAATGCATTCAGTATGAAATATCTATCCTAAAAACTTTTTAAATTACCTAAAAGTCTCTTACCCCATTCTTTTGGCCAAACCTATCATAGGTTGTCCGAAGAGAAAATTTGAATTCCAAATACTAATATAAAAAAAAAATAAAAATCAACATGTAAAAAAAAGTAAATAAGTACTTTCTTTCGAAATGGATGAATTATAAAATTCTATTTGTATATATATATATATTGATATTTGACCGGTATATTCTAATGATTCATTGATGAATCTATAACAATATAGATCGATCCATGACCACGATTTGTCATGGCAAACCGGCTTGGGCGGGTAAGGGCAGCAGCAATTGGTATATACAATTGAATGCTCATTTTATTCTTTTGTGTGCGGATAAAAATAAAAACATATAAAATAACAATTGTTCAATTATTTCAATATTATTTTTCAATTGCGATTCTTCAAAAATAATAATAAAAAAATACAATATAATATTTTATACAAAAGTGAAAAAAGTAAAAAAAAAAAAAAATACTTACTATAAAAAGTCAAAATGTTATTATAGAGAATAAAAAGTCAAATAGTCTCTAAAACAATACTATATTTATATATTTTTTTACATAATTTTTCATACTAAGTATCAAAAATTATTTCATCTAAGTACTTTGTGAATAGACTCAATATGTATGTAAGGTGGTTCAACATTTTAATTTCTAATATGCTAAGTAATTTTACGAAATACATGTGGATAGTAAAAATAACTGCAGTGACAATTTATATCCATTTTATTTTTGGATCAAATAAAACAATTAATATAACGACTTGTGGACGGGCAATTTAATGTTTTATTTTTTAGTGTGCTTGTAAATGGTTTCTCAACTGACAATTTATGCGAGTTCTATATTTTTATGTATTGGATAAAAAAAAATAATTAGGATAACAATCCTTGTGTGAACTAATTAATATTTTACTTTTTGATGTGGTTGAATAAAACAAATACCACGGTCTCACATAGTACATTTTATTAAGGATTTTACTCTTTTTATTTATTTATTTATTTTTTGTGTGTATTGTGTCTTCTATAATTTCATTCAAAATTTTCTATGTAATAGATTAGTAAAAATAGTTGGAATAATAGTTTATACACATTTTATTTTCCAATAAAAAATTATATAAATATTTTATCTGATGAATGGCTGATTTTCATCAAACATACAAATAAAAGAACAATCTTGAGAATGCAACCACTAGGGTGTATTTGATTAGAGGATTTTTTAAAATTTTCACTATTCATCAATTTTTTTTTTTAAAAACATCAAATCAAATACATATTTTTTATTTTTTATATTATACTAAAAATAAATTTAACATTCAAACTGTTTATTTCACATCATACAACTATTCAAATTCAAAATTTTTATTATTCAAATCTCAACTCAAAATTCAAACCTCCAAACAACCACGTCAATGTATTTTGAGAGTAACAAGGGAAATAGATGTGTATCAAAAGGTTGTGTTTTTGTCTCTATTCTAGATATTATTATCATACAGTTAAAATATTTTTCACACCTGAAAAGCCACAACATCCAACAACTCTTTCTTAATAAAAACATAACATCCAAACTATTTCACATTCAAAATATTCAGCGACTTACTTTGATGCAGCACTTCAGAATCTCGCAAACAGTTTGATTTCCAGTACACATGGCCACCAGATCCAACCACTAATGGCTCTGTTCTTACAACATCTGAATTCTTAGTTCTACAAAACATCATCCAAATTCCAAAACCTATTTCATATAATAAAAAGAATATAACTGATTCCATTTCTGCTACTGGGGTGCCTGGAAGGAATGCGGAGTGTTGATCTCAGAGAAGCCAAAGCCAATCAACAGAGAACACGAGGGTTGCTGACGGAAGGTCAATGAAGGATGCGCGGCGCCGCCGGATACTTCGTATGGCTAGGGTTTCAGGGTCTCCGCATTTGTGATTTATAAATGAGTTTACCCTTTTGGACATATAAATCCTTATTTCAAAGTTTAAAATCGCGCTTTAAGAAGGCATGCGTTTTTTAAAGACTGTGCCACATCATTAACAAGAGAAACAACTTTTAGCGCACGTGGCAGTCCATGTGAAAAATAGGAAATCATGCATGCAATTCGAAGAAGCTTTTCTTTGCAGCAAATTTGGTTGCAGGGCGTCGTTCTAAGTAGCATTTCAGATACAGAGGAAAATCTTCTAGCTTTTGCTTCATTGGTGAGAATACCAGCGGGTTTGTCACCTCCTTTTTCCTATCAATGCATAATTACACAATAAGAAAAATGCTGCAAAGTCATTCAGAAATAATTCAGAAGACTCACATGCAAAAGCTGCCCCTGCATTCGGGGCAAGTCCATTGCTCCAAACTAGCTACTTCTTCAGCCGTCTCGCAATATCTAACTTGGATGAAATCGTCACAATAAAATTAGATTGTCCAAGTATTCAATGACGTGTTGAATTCAAAATCATCATATAACGAAAAGATGATAAAGAGAACCTGTTCAAGAGACACTTCTGACAATACATAATAGGGCATGGTTTGTTAATACTCTGAAACTTGCATGCTGCCACAAGATCCCGGGTCATTTGCCACATGCATGACACTTCCAAATGTCAAGCATAAATATTGAGCAAAAAAAGAGAATTTAGAGAAATTTTTTCACAGATAAAACTGAATAAGTAATAAAAGCTTCACCAAGCATATTAAAGTCATAGTACAGAAGCAAGATATCAATAACCGACTAAATGTCGTGACTTGCCACACTAGGTAGTTTATGTTTCCACACTAGGTGGCTACTTATCATCTTAGATTCAACCAGTAATCTATAGGAATACTACCACCCAAGAACCTTTATTGAAAATCATATGGCTTTGGCTTCACACAAGATTTTGTAATAGATTATCCATTGGATTTTTATGCGGAGAAAATGAACTCGCTAACATAAAAGTTGCAATCACAAATGTTGCAATCGAAATTCTCCAAATCATTCCCACCACCGGCATGTCTTAATCAATGATTGATCTACGTGTAACCTTCATCACTCACAAGTAACAATATACTTTATGGTATGCCAACATTTAAGAATATAGCAATGGAAAACTAAACAAGATTAACTTGAAAATGACCTTTCTGATTCTCGAAGAATTCAGTCCAAATATACTCCTAGATACCGACTCAATTTCTGCAACTCTAATGCATAACGACAAATTAGAGTTAAAAAATAACCTACAGGTTCAAGTCACACTCACAACATGCTTCAAGACAAACAAAAGGCAATGCCGTCGCACACATAGTCTAACCAAATCTTGAGACTGTTCAAATCAATAAATTTCAGGTTACTTCACCATTTCTAGGTTGCATTTTACCGATTGCTCCGTTTCTCACACATGCCAAACAAAGTATCACATCAATCTATCGCATTACGATTCAAACATGTACATGTATTATTATCCATCTGACGAGAATACAACACAAAACACTATCAATCAAGGTTACTTCACAAACAAAAATAAAAATAAAAAATCTTTACTTGCATCATGCAGCTCAGTCACCGAACGCCGCATAAAGAACACACAAGCAACCGATGTTGTTGGCAAAATGGCCGAGTTGGATCTGGGTCGGGCTCCTCGTTCCGATTCCGTTACAAGAAACACAATAGAAAGGGAAAGAGGGGGAAGAACAAGACGAGGAGTGAGGGTCCAAGAGAGGAAGGAGGAGAGGAAGATGGGAAATTGAGAATTAGGTTTTAGGTTACTGGGTACGAGGTTAGGGTTACTGACATTTTGGCTTGGACTTAAAAAAAAAGGGCATTAGATTTGGGCTCAAACTTAGATTTCTACCATTTGGATTTTAAATTTTCGATTTTTATTTTTTATAAAATGTGTTATATGATACATTATTTTAATATCAAATTTAAATGGATGTAATTTGAAATTTAATATTAAATCTTATATTTGAATAATAAAATATTATAATTGAAATAATTGTACTATATAATTGATGTGTTTTTTACGGTGTGTCTTTTTATAGAAAATTTTATCAAATTTATAATATTTATTTATTTTTATATTATAGTATTAATTTTACATTTAAAACATCGTATCCGTATCTATTTATATTAACATCATGCACCTATTCAAATTTTAAATTTTATTATTTCAAATTTTAAACACAAATTCAAATCCTCAAACAAGTACACCCTTAATGACTTAATGTATACATAATTTAAGTATAATATAAAACATAAAAACATATATTTAATTTAATATTTTTAGAAACAAAAATTTAGTTGAATAATAAAAAGTTGGAAGGAAATTGATCACGGAAATAGAGACGCATCAAACAACACACAAACTTGATTGAGGTCTCTCTATTTTTGTTCAATCCCCTCTTTACTCTATTTTTGTATATATAATTCAAGTTTAATTTGATTGATTTGTCTGTTTTTCGTCGTTTCAATATTATTTTTTAATTGGGATTCTTAAAAAAAAAGTATATATAAAATATTTTATACAAAAATCAGAAAGTAAAAAAAAAAATTAATTAAATATTTATTATAAAAAAATCAAAAAGTCATTACGAAAAATAAAAAAGTCAAACATTCAACTTAAAATAATACTCCCTCTGTCCCATATGGCGTGTCTGCTACACTGAATACACGGTATTTTAGGAGGGGCGTAATTAATAGATAATTAAGAATGTATTAGTAAAAATAATTATCTTGTAATATAAATAATTTTAACTTAAGATTAAGATAACTAATTAGTTAAATTAAAATTAAAAATATAAATTAAAAAGTTTAAAATGAAATTAAAGTGTGTAATCATTTTCCAAAAAGGGAAAGTGATATGGAACGTGGGACAGACAGAAACGACAACGTGGACATGGTATGTGGGACGGAGGGAGTACTATATTTTATATATATATTTTTACATAGTTTCTCGTACGGCATACCAAAAATTATTTCATATGTAAATAATGTGTGAACGGACTCAATATGTATGTAAGGTGGTTGAAGATTTTATTTTCTAATGTACTAAGTAGTTTTACAAAATACATGTGGTTGGTAAAAATAATTGCAGTGACAATTTATATTCATTTTATTTTTTATGTATTGGATCAAATAAAAAACAAATAGGATAACAACTTATGGATGGACAATTTAACGTTTTATTTTTTAGTGTGCTTGTAAATGGTTTCTCAACTGACAAACTATACAGAGTTTTATATTTTTATGTGTTGGATAAACAAAATAATTAGTATAACAATCTGTGCGTGGGACTGTTTAATAGTCGAATACAACACATACAACGGTCTCACATAGTACATTTTATTAAGGATTTTACTGTTTTTATTTATTTATCATGTGTATTATTCCTTCTATAATTTCATTCAAAATTTTCTATGTGATAGATTAGTAAAAATAGTTGAACAATAGTTTATACACATTTTATTTTCCAATAAAAAAAAAATATATATTTTAGATCAACATCCGATGAATGACCCGTCTTTTCTAATCTCATTGCTCCAATTAAAGCAACCAAAACAAACAAATTAAAATCAATTAAATATAAAAAAAAAGTTAAAATCATCTAAAATTAATTAAAATCAATTAAAATCAATTACATATAAAAAAATTAAAATAATTTAAAGATGGAAAAACTCAAAATAAATCAACGTCAAAAGCCACCACCATAGAATCAAAATCAATCAAAGAAACCCTAATCACAAGATAAACCATAATCAAAGTCTGGATATATATCATTTCCTATTTCGTAAGCACCCACAAAAGTAGAAACTTGCAAAACGCTTCGATGATACAAATGAGAGGGACTCTACCGGAACCTAGAATATTCTAGGACTTACAAATGATCCATCGTGTTCAGCAACCTTCTATAAAGATTCTTTTATAGGGAGGGAAGTTCTTTCATAGACGAACCTAGAATGTTCCGGTTCATTATTCTACAATCTTCCAGAAAGATTCTAGAATATTCCTAGATACTTCAGCTAAGTTTGAATGAACGTTGTTTTAGACCGTTTCAAAAAGCTCTATCGCTATTATTCACATTTTTTAGAGGGTTAAAGAGATAGTTCTACAATATATATAATTTTTATTTATTTATTTATTTATATTGTAAATTTATTCTAAACTATTTATTATTATTATTATTATTATTGTCTAATATCTTTAATTACTTTGTTATGATTTACTATATTTATATTATTAAATAAATTTCTTTATATATATTTTAATTACTTTATTAATTGTATTTTATATGTTTTATTTTATTAATATTAATTATATTAATTATATATATTACTTTAATTATTTTATAATTATTGTATTTTAATTGTACTTGATTTTTAATTTAAATAAAAAACTAGGCCACAACCCACAATTCCAATAAAAATATATTCTTTCTTTGTTTTATTTCTTTTCTTCAATTGCATTTATTGATTTTAAATTCTTTTTGCTATATATTAGTTTGCTTAAAACTCTAGTACATAGTTTGTTTTCTATCATATATCCGATCCAGTCAAGAGCAGCAATTCAATTTACTTGCTTTCCTTCCATGCACAATCTCATTGCCTTCTTTGTTTTTTTACTTGAATATCGTTACAAAATTTATGCATATTTTCTTTTATCGAATCCAATTCAGTCTTATTGGTACATCTATTTTCTTTTTCATTCAAAATCCAGTAAATTAAATTTTACTCATTTTCATCTATTGAGAGACTAGCCAGGATACTTTCTTGAGTAGGCTGAGAACCCAAATTCTTGTCGGTTTCGACCGACCTAAATTTTTTGGGCCGTCATGGACCAAATTTCAGTACAACAATAGTATATTAATGTGATATTTAATATTGAATTGTGTTTAAAATAAAAAATATACAAACTTTTATTTAATATAAAATACTTTTATTTTGAATGATAAAAGGGGAAATATATATTGTGAATATAATATAATATTACAATACTTTTATAGTATATGTATTTGTTTAAGGGTTTGTATTTCGGGTTTGGGATTTAAATTGAAAACTTTTTGAATTTAAATAGTTGTACAATGAATATAAATAGCATGTAAAATTACTTTTTAGTGTAATATAAAAAATTGAAAAATAAAAAAATAATTTGATATTTTAGGGGAAAAAAATTATGAATAGTGAAAGTTTGACAAAATATTTCAAGAGAACAAAATCTTAAAATATACTGTTTTCTCTCACTAAACATCACTACAAAATACTATTTAAACAAAAACTCAAATCAATTTCAAACTATAATCAAACAAACCCAGCGAACATAATGAAGAACATGCTAAAGAATGGACTCCCCTAGGTTATTTTACATTTACGTCAATTCCAACTCTTAGATTATTATTTTTAAGAATATGTCACAACTTCTTTTAAAAAAAAAACAAAAAAGTCATATCATTGTTATCATTATTTTAAGTACCAACAACTAGAGGTATGATACAAGAATAATAAATCATTGTGGACCATATATATAACAAGATAGGAAAATGATTGTGCAACATATCAACGGAATTAATAGTAATTATCAATAAATCAATGTCACTTCACTGAAAGAACAAAAGAATGTCGTCGTTGTTGATCCAGATGCACCGTCACATTTTGGGAAAGAAAATAAAATGTATATATACAAATATATGTTTGGATGCAGAAAGGAACATGACCTTAAATTTAAAAACAATAATAGAGAGAACAATTAAAATATGGGGAAAAAAAAAGATCAAAAAAATTATAAGGTTTAATGTTAAATTAAAAAAAAAATCACACTTATCACCATTTAATTGATATGGCGGAAGGGGCTGAATTGCACTGAGGCTGAGGATTTCATCCCACATTCTATAGACTCATTTTTTTTCTTCTAAAACTTTACATAAAAGAAAATTATTATACTATAACGCATATCGATATCAATTCTAATGTATAAAAGTTATATAACGCAAATGAGAGTTTGAAGGAGCTTGAAATTAGAGTTTTTCTAAGGAATTACTCAATTATTAACATTGCTGCGTATACATTGCTTTAGAAGTTGTGATGCATTGGCCTCGCCACCGCCGCCATGTTTAACGAAACATCCCATGGCAAACACACATTGTCATGAGATTGTTCCTGCTCCGGTAACCATGGACGAAACCAAGAAGAGGCTTGGAGGGGCACTTGATCCCGAGCCTAAAAAAGGTATAAATTTTAATATAAAAGGTAAAATTTTTAAGTTTAATATATGAATTTTGCCCCCTCCCTCCCTTCCCTTTTTCTCTTCTAAATTTAGTATTTTATTTTACTTTTTATTTTACTATTTTAAATTTATAACAATCTATAATATTATTAATTATAAATATATTATATAAGAATACAGGTTTTGTTCATCTAAATAATATTTTTATTGGTTCAATTTTAAAGGTATATAATAAAAATTATATTTTCTCATAAAAGTTAAACTTTTTATCTAAAATATTACTTTGTACCATTTTCTTTTTCTTCTCGTCAGTTCTTTTTTTTTTTTTTTTTTTTTTATCACCCCACTATGTTGTCAAAGGGTATCAAAGATGTTAAGATGGCATCGAATTGATGGAAGTGAACCAAGTTCTTACAATTTTTTTCAAACAAATTTTTTTTTTTTTTAGTTCAAACAAGGAACGACTGTAGAAAATACGC